GGCTGCAGCGGAGTCCCCCAGTATGCTGTACCTGGTCGGGCTGGGCCTGGGAGACGCCAAGGACATCACGGTGAAGGGTCTGGAAGCAGTGAGGCGGTGCCGCAGGGTGTACCTGGAGGCCTACACGTCCCTCCTCACGGTGGGCAAGGAAGCGCTGGTAGGTCCGGCCGCCGCCGAGCAGCGAGCCGGGGCTGGGCGGGAAGGTCGGTAAGGCCTGCTGGGGAAGCTGATGCTAGTGCACGTCCTTCCAGAAGGCGCGTACGTGATGTCCACGTGCGGTACTTTGTAGCAGAATTCGTTTCTATACTTGTGAGGAGACTCAAAAGAAAATAAAATTTCCTTCCTACGAGTGTTGATGATAGTTTCCATCTTAAATTCGATCAATGTACAGAGATCCTGGAAGACTGGAGAACTTGCTTAGCAAAATGCCTGATCTGCTTAAAACAACAACAACAAAAAATACCAGAAAAATATGTTTTGGAGCCTTGAAACTCTGAATCAGCCTAAGGTATTATGATGTACCTGCTGGAAGTGATGAAATAACTGTCCCGCATTTCCATGTTTTCTTGTGGACCAAGGTGTCCCACCACACTGAGACTTCCAGAAGATGCACAGTTCAGTCAGAGATGGGCTGCTGAACAACATGGAGAGAAGTTTCTTTTTAGTAAACACACCTTATGGGAGAAGGCAGCAGTAAAAATGTACAAATTATAATACTGATGGATTTGTCATTTGTAGAAAGATAAGGTTTAATGTTGAAATAAGATCAAAAAAAGAGCTTACCTACCCACAGAACAGAGATCTCACCTTGGAATAAGCTGTGTAGTACTACACAGAGATGCTGACTGGGCCTTGGATGCTATATAGCCATTGTGTACTTGTATGCACACCTGTATGTATAGGCAGCACCTGAGAGATCTGCCTAGTGGTCTGCATTATGTGGGTTCCAGATACAAGCTAGTCTAGAATCTCTGGAGCCATCTCTGGTATGTCTGCTGTATTTTGAAATGAAAATATACTCCCTGTTTATCTTTTTTCTTTCAGTACACTTAAGTAAGCTGAATTGAAATTAATCCATGCAAAACAAAATGTTATTTTTTAGTTGTTGAATAGTTGGAAATTTGCAAAAGATAAACGATTACTTGGATATTTTTACTTCACAAAATCTGCATTTGCTATAAAAAAAAAATTGATGGATTCCTAGGCAGCTGAAAATAAAAAATTGAGTAATAGAAAAATGCTGAATGTTTCTAGCATGGTTATTTTTGAGGGGTTGTTTGTTTTGCTTTATATCACTTTAATTCTTTTGGAAACTTGGCAGTCCCAAAGATGAGGTAGTTAGAAAAAGTGATCAATAAAACCAAAGTAAAAGATGTTGTCTTACCTGAAACTGCCTAAGAGGTAATAAAAGAATTAATCACCAGGTGCTGATAATGCAGCCCAGTTCACATACAAGTGACAATGCTGAGTGGCTTATTTAGTAATCTGAAGGTCATCTTCTAAGCCCCCTGAAAAGTTGAGAAAGCTCTCAAGACAAAGAAAATGGTTGATTCTTTCCAGCTACTGTTGTGCTGGAAAAGATCCTGTTGTGCTAGTGTAAGATACCTAGTAAAACCAAATGGAGTGTCTGATTTTGTTGTAGTTTAATACAGACCTCAGCAGTGCTCCAAAGTGTCCATCACCCATTCTGAATCACAGATACAAGATTTGCTTATACATTTATTTGGTCCCCTTTCTATTGAATCTGTACAAGCTGTAGTCATTCACAAGGAAAATAGCGTCCTCATTTTACAGGGGTGGAGAAACGTGCCCAGCAATGGTGAGGAGGCCATCCTGAGAACAGGGAACTGAACCAAGGAGCAGAGGCCCCGTATCTGGTACTCTAGCTGTGGGGTGGATGTTTTTAATGGAGGCATTACTCTGCTTCTGTAGGAGTGTGCTGGTCCTCTTGTCAATTCACTGTTCTTTGCAGGCAAAGATGAAGCCATCACTGAAGTCACAGGAGAAGTCAGAGGAAAAGTTTTCTGGACCATAACTGACTTAATGGTTTTATCAATTTGTTAGTACTCATAATACCACCCAAATTTTCTGAATACTGCTTAGAACAAAACCACCTTTTTTGGTCTATGCCATGGAAAATAAACCCTTTATCTAATCACCTGAAGAGTATGTGAAATGTATGGTGACACAAGACTTAGAGACAGGTATGTTCAGGATAGTCAGACAACATGTTCTGGAACTAACTAAAGTTTTATTACACATGAAGTTGATTCTGGAAATAAATTTAATACATACAAAGAGACACAATGGTTACTGAGCTGCTGTGCTGAAGAGCAAAGGACATGATCAAATACATGTTTACCTGTATACATAGTAAAGTATTTATAGAGAACTGAACATGAAGGATTAGTATGAAATCAATACACTTTAACAAAACATAGTTAAGTAATAAGGAAAAATCTAAAAAAACCTGGGTTATGGTGTAGCTAGTATTGTATTTGTATCTGTGTTTGAGGTCAGTATTGTATCTCACCTCAGCAGTTAGGCTCAGAGTTGTGAGAGGTGATGCCTTACAGGGGGATTACCAGTTAAATTAACTATATCTAGAGTCCACCCAAGTGTCTGTGGTATGCAGGTGTGATTGAGCTACTTTTGAAGCAGCTCTTAAATTGAAACAGAAGGCATAAAAATCCAAGTCAGTATCAGGGTAATGTGCTTGACTAATTTAATTAGGGTTCTCTAAGACATGGGTCAGACTGCTGGGGAGAATAATAAAAGTTGGCCTTTCCAGTGTCCATTGTCTGTATTCCTGAGTGAGCAGTCAGAGAGCTACAAACACTCCTAAGTGTCTTATTTTGGTGTTTCTTACTGATTTCAATTTCTAGGAAGAGTTTTATGGGAAAGAATTGATTTTGGCTGACCGAGAAACAGTGGAACAAGAAGCAGATAGCATTTTAAAAGAAGCTGATGTTTATGATGTCGCATTTCTTGTAGTTGGTGATCCTTTTGGGTAAGACAATGCAACATTTTAATTATTGCTATAGCTTGATAACTCTCTTTTTTCAGTAGGAAGGAGCCATACTCTGCAATTCTTCATGAGAAAGCTGATTTTCAGACCAGAAGCACTTATGTCTCTGTATATTTTTTATTGCGTTCAAAATATACATGCAGTTATCTACACTTTGTCTTGCTTTGGAGTTTTCTTGCCCAGATATTCCTTATAGAGAGGAATGTGGATCCTCCAGGATGTATAAATCTTTCTTTCAGCAGTCACTTATCATTTCATTCTCTATGCTAACTTTTACTGAGAGTATTTTCTTCCAGGTTTTATCTGCTAACAGAAGAAATTCTAGGGTATCACATAATTAAGAAATGTGCTCTGTTTTGAGGGAGTTTCCTTTCAGTTGCTATTTTTATAAAGTGCAGCTTTTATGCTCAATTCATTTAGAATGAGTACTGATTGTTGGTTGTACAGTGCTTCTGCTTTCATCTATGCTAGTCTTTAGAATCACTTAGGTCGTGATAGACATTTTCTCGTTTTGGTTTACTAGGCCTTTTTGTTTCCACTTTTTATTCCTGCTAAAAACTATGGTCTTTTTCTAACACCAGAAAGATCTCCTTCTGTCTTTTTAGTCAGGCATCATCAATCTGTAATGTCAAGTCATACAGAAGAGCTCTTAGTCTCCAGCTGGTGATTCAAGATTTATACCACAGTGTTAAGGGGCACAAGAAAAAATCAAATCACCAAGCACTGTATTTGTAAGGGAGAAAATGGAGAGAGTTTATGAAAAAGAGGAGCAGTGTGCCCATCTGTCAAAAGGATATTTTATGTAAATACAGGTTGAAGAGAATTGGAAAGAGAATGTTATGTTAAACTAGTACTTATGGGCAGAATAAGCTGTATTTCAGAAATATTAATTACGCTTTTGACACATGTTAACATTAAGATCCATGTGAAGTGTAGAGCCACGTCACCCGTGTCCCTGTGATCCGGTGTCTAAGCACGCAAGATGAAAAAAATCAACACACATCTTGAAATGTAGTTTCATCTTGATCTGCCTCAGCTATTATTAATTTCAGTGTCAAACTACTTCAATTCTCATGAACATGCTACATAACTATAGAAAACTACCATGTTCTTGACTGAGTTACTTACCTCTAAATGTTTATGTTCTTAGCTGATGATATTGCACCTAGAACTGCTTTTTTGCCCTAAGTATTTAGGGCTCATGGGGTTACTAGGAAAGAGTATTGAATGTTTCTGTCCTAAGAGTAGTCATATGGGAGAAGGAGAGTAACCTTGTGACTGCAGCTGGTCATAGGGTTTCAAGTACATTTGCAGGTAAGAAGAGTACTTGGCAGCCTTAGGAAAAATCTCAGGTGTTGGTGGTTAAGTTGAAGTGCTAGAGCAAGCTGTGCCCCTGTCAGCCTCCTCACCCTTCTTCACTACAGGTTTTTTTTTTTCTGCATATGTGGTAACAGCTATTGATGTACTAGCAGGAACCTGACAATTCTAGAGCCACACTGGAAAGTCAACCTTCATCTAGCCTGGTGCTAACATTCATATTATTACTACCCATAAAACATAAAATTTGTATCAGGACAGAAAATACTAGTATAGCTCTGGGTGCATAGGGATGACTTCATGAATCCTCTCCTAGTATTAGCCGAGTGCTCATAAGGGCACTTCTGCTTTTAGCTACAGTCATTATGGATAGATCTATTGGGGAAAAGATACTGGCTGGAGCAAATTTTGGTGAATAAAGCCAACTGATCCCTTGGTCAGTATTAGCATAACCACAAGATCTTCCAGTGCTCCTTGTCCTGCATGTGTGAAGGGAATAATACAAGGCTGTAAAATGAGCCCCCTCGTCTCTTAGAGTGGGCATACTTAAATCACCTCCGCTTATGGAAATCAGGAGCAGGTTGTTCACTAACCATAGGGTTGATTTAGATCACTCTACTGCATTCCTCTGGGTCTCAGAGCCTGTTTGTATCAGTCTGATTTCCCAACCTCAGATTCCTCTATTTTTTTTTTGTTCCAGTGAAATTGATTTCTTTTTTACACGATTGATCCTTACAGCCTTGCCAGCTGCTTCCCACTTTTGTGTTCCACTCTGAAGCACCTGAGGTGCTGGTTGGTGCTAGTTGGACATGCAGTGTCAAATATCAGACTAAAAATCAGGGCAGTGCTGTTAGGGTAACTGAACCAGGGCAGGGTGAAAGCAGCCTTCCTATTTAATTATTCTGACCAGCACATGCTGTTTTTTTCTTTGCTTCCTTCTTTGGAATGGCCACACACAGAAATGTGTTGTCCATCTCAGAAATGAGATGGCTAAGGGTTTGGCAAATTTAGGAAAGGGGTAGTTGCATTTTTGTGTTTCACATGGAAAACAGAGTGCCTAGCATGTATGTAAGCATACATGCAAACAAGATACATATGTAAACCTCATTGCAGTTCAAAGATTTGCTGGATCTATATATAAACTAAACCCAGCTGTGTTAACTACAAGCCCAGTAATTCTTGCACCAGTCACTACAAGGGGGTTATTAAGCATTAGGCCTGGAGCCAAATTTAGCTCAGTTCTAAGCTGAACTAGACTTTTCTGAATTAATTCAGAATAAAATTGATCTCTCAATTTAAGCATTATTAATCTGAGTAATTTGGCTTAAATATTATAAAAGTTGATTTAGTCTAAAGATATTTTTTCTAAATACTACATGCAGTTTACCTCAAGTCTATTCAAAGTTCCTGTTTGCGTGTGTGGTATTCCTGGCATGCACTGATACTGATGTAGATGGGGGAAGGCCTGGCTGTGCAGTGAGTAAGGAAATACTGGAGTTCTATTGACATCTGTGCTCACCAGAGTTGCCCTTTACAGTTCAACAGATGTCCAACAGACACCTGCAGAAGACAAAGGATAAATGGAACTTTCCTTTTCAAATACTTGGCAAAGCTACTTTTAAAAGTAACAGTTGTGTTTGTGTTACAGTTTTAATGATGCCAGAAAGCTGCAAAGAACAGTAACTTGTTGAGGATGTCTGTATTGTCATCTAGAGAAGATGACATATGGAAGTCTTATTGGAGGTTTTACTTTCCCAAAACTATTAGTCGAGTTACTGTTACCCTTTTGGCACCGCTGCATTGCCCTAGTTGTGAAGGGTTTCAAAACAAACTGTAATGCTAGTAAAGCTTGGTAACTTTATCTTTTGCATCTTTTAATTCCTTTCTCTTCTTAACACAGGGCCACAACGCACAGTGATTTAGTGCTACGTGCAGTGAAACTGAGGATTCCATACAAGGTCATTCATAATGCTTCAATAATAAACGCCGTGGGCTGCTGTGGTTTACAGGTAACATTTTTGTGTATATGCTGTTCTACTACTGCTAAACTTAGAAATGGTGAGCTCATCTACTGCTGTAGCAGTGCATGTTGTAACCTGGAGTTTGAAGATTTGTAGCAACTATATGCTTCTTTCGTCACAATTTGTTAACGCTTCCTTTTCAGCATGCTACATGTCAGCAAAAGTCCCTTTTGATGAGCACTTTTGAAAGTAAATAGGAACCTTTGTATTCTCTCCTCTCTTACTTCCCTCTGCTCAAGAAGACTTTGATATTTTAGTTATTTTAAAGATTTTGCTCGTGTTTGCTTCCTTCTACTACTTATGGCCACCTGATAAGTTTATTCTTAAATTGTTACTCTGTTGACAGATATGCTGGTCTTGTCGTGAAAGGAATATATGCACAATCCTGTCTGTATGCCCAACTTGGATCATAACTAATTCCAGAATCTTGTATAGGATGCATTCCTTCTCTCCAGGGTTGACCTGTCTTCACTTTCTGCCTGTCTGCCGAGAAGGGATTTGCCCAGCCAAGAGTGAGAAGAACAAATGATGGATTTTGTGCTTCTCGAATGAGGAAAGTAGGAAAGGTCTAGTGTCCCGTGTCCCCTAAGAAAACACTTCACGATTTCCTTTTGCACATACATAGGACCATTGTTACTTTTCGTGCATGAAAAATGTTACAGCAGTGTATGTGTCCTAATTAATCATATTTAACTTAAAGTAATGAATCAAAACAAGAGGGGGAAGCTTCAGCTCAGAACCTGTCTTCTCAAGGTTCAGATTGGTTCCCTGTGTATGGAAGCCTCTAAAGCAAGCTCCCACTTTAACAAAACCAAAAGCAAGCACAGAACTGTAAGTATACTGTAGACAGGCGTTGAGGGTTTGGGAAAGAATTTTTCAGCACTGAAGGAGGAAGCCTGTCTTCCTAGCTTAACAGAAGAAAACACCACTTTTTTAAAATTTCAATAATTTCAACTGACACCTTCAGATTTACACTGACAAACTCCAGTAGCCATATTTCAATGCTGTCCAGCAGTAGAAAATCTGTTGCAATAAGTTGGGTATTATCTCTGATCACATCTGAATGGCTTAGAAGTGCAAGAGCCCTGTCTGATCTGGCAGTTCAGCAACACTGCAGTGACACCCGTTGTGAGACATGAATGCTAAAGGGAATACAGCACAGGATTCACGTTCGTAATAATTGTTGCCATGAACACTTAGTGATACCTGCCTATTGCTGTCAGTCTTGGGCAAAATTATCTTTTAGGAAGGAAATAGGCTCCTCGGTGTCTAAAATCTTCACATAGAGCAGACAGATGGCAGCTGTCGCATGACTGCACTTACTGGGGCGGGTGACACAAGCTGAGGCTGGGACTCACCCTTTCCCCTTGTGGCTTCATAGTGGTGCAGAGTTTGTTTCTGCTGCCAAGCTATGGACAAGTAGTTTCTACTACCCCCTGTCTTTTTACTCTTCTTTTATGTTCATTAGGGAAGAACATGCAAGGCTCATATTCCCAAAGAGAACAGGTGACAGTTCTCTGAAAATCTGCTTCCCCTCAACTCCAGCTAAGGCATAGGAAGGAGTATAGAGCCTCTAGGATAATTAAAAAAAGAGTAAAAGAGTGACAGGGAATATATTGCAAACTGTCCATAAGGTTTTACACATATGCAGAGGTCTGGAGATCAGTTTCCTATTTCTTTATCCCATGCTGAAGGGAACAGACCATGAAGGAAACGTGTTGTTTTTCACTCTGGCATTAGTCCCCTTTTCCATTCTGGCTTGGGAAGGGCCACCTTCTCCTAAGTCAACATTCCTGTTGTTGTGTAAAGCATTTTAGGAAATCGTGGTCATATTGTATTACCAGACAGACTATAACCAGCTGTATGTTTAAGTCTTCATTGCTCCTTACCGACATCAACTTAGTTTTCAAGTTACTGTTTCAAATTGCAGAGTTGCTGTCAAGTATAGCAGGGATTCCTCTTTTGCTTTACCACAGAAAAGGCTTGGCTTTTTTTCTTGTTTTAATCTGATTGTGATACAAAACCTCTTTCTTTCTCACTAGAGAAAAACAGGAAACACCTTTATACGCTATTCTGAAAGCCATGTGCGTAGTGAGCTGTAACTGCCGGTTAGGCCCTCGGTAAAATGCAGCTACGGCCCAGTGTGTTCACAACAGAACACGTCTCTTCTCATCAGGGCAGTGTTTCTGGGCAGCCAACAACATTCTGATAGCTGCGCAGTTCTCCTGTGCCATGGTGGGTTACTGAAGTCAGTAGAGCATTAGCAATGGTTTGACACCTTCAATTCATGGGTATATTTCTTGCCAAAGTGTTAAGAAGGGTGAATATCTATTTTTGTAATACTGTTTTTTTCCTCCTTACTGTCTTGCTCACTGACGAGTCGGCACAGCTCCTGAAGGCTGCGTGGGTGAAGACTGTATATGTAAAAAGAACAGGCCTTTTAGTTTTGAAAATTAAACTTTTTGAACTTCTAGGAAGCTCCAATAGATGATGCAATAAGCTATAGCTATTGAAAGCAGGGGATAGTAGATAGTATAACTTAGCAAAGTATTAGTCTGATCAGGTATAAGGCTCTATGACTTGCTGTGGATCCCTCTTTTACACTGTTCTTGCTGCTCTTCACTGTGTCAGATTTTTATTTTTCAAGGCTGAAGAACATCTTTTCCTTCATAACCAAATAAATAAAGCCAGGACAGGGGGAGAAGCCAGGAGAAGTGTCTCTGTGTCTATGCCTCTTAGCACATTCCCTGTAGGTTCACTTCTCTTGCCTGACATGTAGGTATGTTGAACAGTCTGACTCCAGTTGCAGTGGGGAACAATTGCCAGTGAAGAAACTCATGCAGTTTGGTATCTGTGCACACTGCCAAGGAAGTCAGGGAGAGGGGACAGAAGTCCCTAGGGGAAGGCCACAATTCTCAGAGAGCACTTCTAGTGGGTGAGACAGTTCAGTTTTCCTCATCAGCAGCTGCACTGTAGTCCCCTTCCTTTGTAAAGCTTAGTATTTTGGGTAACAGGATTACCTCTCTTCAACTGCTGCTCAGCTACCCTGGGAGCAAGACATTGCCTTGGATCTATCCAACTAGGATTCAGCACTGCAAGCTGAGAACAAAGGGAGAACCCAGTCTGAAGACTTAGCCCTAGAATAAAGAGGCAGAAAACTCAGGTTCTCTAATTTATACCTTTTTCCTTCCTTCCTAATCTACGTGACATCTGGGTTAGTTTGGGAAGGTCACTGTCCAGAGTGGTGCTCTTAGGACAGAATTCTCTCTGACACGGGTCTGGTCACGTATCTTTGAGGTAGCACTACAGATGGTCAAACACATGAGGAAGACTGCATCGTACGGACCTGTGAGGCACATGAAGGAATGATGCAATTTGAAATCGTTTGAGATAATGGCATTACTGTAAAAAAGAGAACTACCAACTAAAGTGCAAAACTGGAGGCAGGCCGTGAAATGAGACAAAAGACTACAACAAGCCATGTTTCTGGGAGAGTGGTGTTGCCAGGGTTAGGGTTTTGAAAGCATTTCCTTTATATTTTGGTAGGGTAGCTAGGAAAAAAAAAAAGTGCCATGGCAAAGAGCTGCCTTTCTTTTGAGACATACCCCCTTTCCACCTGAATAGCTTCAGAACAAACATCTGCCTGTTCCCTTGCTTCTTTCAGTGACTCACCTCAATGGTTTTTTTTGCTTGCAGCCTGGTTAATTCTTGTAAGATAATTACAGTTCCAAAATACTTTTGTCTTCTCACTACTAGTGGATCACTTAAATGCAAAAGCAGTGTTTACTAGGTTATTTTTGAGTCTGTACTGAACAAGTGAGTACATGTATGGCATCAAGTAAAAAAATATTGATGAGGAAGCTGAAGCTATCATTACTCACTGTAATCAAACAGAAAAATCATAGTAGCTGCAAGACCAAGAACCTTTGGAGTTCCACCCTCTCTTTGTGCCCTAATCTTCAAAAATGCTCTTTAAAAGGAGGGGCTCTATACAGAATGGTTTTTATTCACTGATAGTGAAACAAATTGTTTTCCATCACTGGTTAGTTTTCTCACTTACTACCAGCTTCTGAGGAAGTTGTTATTTGTTTCTCCAGCTAAAAGTTAAATCAGTGCTAGTCTCACACTGTGTCATTACTCACAATTGCTGTTCAACTTAGTACCATTTGTCACCAGCAAACATGACCCAGGAACCTCTGTTTAATCAGTATAGAATTTCTTTTCCATTTAGACATCTTCTTTTCAGATTAGTAACCCAAGTGACCAGGGTAGGAAGGAACTATTGCTTGATACTGCTGGGAAGAGTCTTAGGAGGTTATTAAAGATAATGTGACATTACCTTGGAGAGAATATCCCATCCAGTTCAAGCTTGCTTGGAGCTTCTGAATCATTTGATAGGTGATTTTTGTTCTGCTTGTGGCGCGGCTTTTGCCTACATGTTCATACAGGAGGCAGCCAAGAAAAGAATGTGCTTTTCTCTTCAGCTGCTTTTAAATGTGTTCTTCCCTTCAGCTGCTTTATGTGATTTGTCTCAGGTGCCTCCTGAAGGCTGCAGTCATGTGGGGTGGGCTTCCCTCAGCCAGATGTCCCTTCCTTCACAGTGGCTTTGTCTCTGGCATGTGCTAAGAGGACAGGACAGTTTTTGGGACAGCTGAGCCAATCTGTTGACTTGCAGTACAAAAAGAGGAGTCATAGCCTTGTGTGTGTGTGAATGGTAGAAGCTTTCAACTTTATGTGGAGATCCTCATGAGAGACATTTGAAGTTGATAAAGCTCTGTGGTACTGAATAAGACAGCGTAAAGAGATAGAACTAAGCTGGAGGTTGTTTCATATGATCAATTACAAGCAGAAAGGAGGCTTGACTGATTCTTGCTACCTCTTTATTGAGGAATTGTCATGCTTCCTAAGCTGTTCTCTGGCAACAATATATAATATAAAGAACAGGAGGAGCCCTTTAATCTGATGTATGACGACGGGAGGGTTGTTAACTGGTTATGGAGGATAAGGGGAAAAAATCTGACTTGTTAGGTCTGTTTTTTTGAGGATGAATGTTGCATAGCGTTATGTCAAAACTCACGTGACAAGGATAAACAAAAATGTCTTAGCTTTACTGTGTATGTTCATTGGGAATTACCAAGAAGCAACCTGGGATAATTCAGGGTGCTCCAGATTCCATTGAGGAATAGCCTTAGCAGAAAAAGCTAAGGGAAGAAAGTAGGCTCATAAGTGAAAAATTGCTTTGTCACCATTGCAGCTGGTACAGCAGTAATTCTGGGAAAGATGCTGTAAAAATAAATGTCTGTGTTTTGAAATGGTTACTTCTTGGTTTCTCTGAGCTGTTGCCCTACTGACCTTTAATATAATCTCGCATCTCCTCTCCTGCTTGCTTTAGTACTTTTTAGAGGGGGTAGGGGATCTTCCTTTTTTAATTTCCCTATTTAGTCTCAGTGTGTTCCTTCTTTTTATGCCCTATATTTTTGTGGTGATTAGCCACACCAATATTTTAAGTGAGGACGGTTGATCTGGACAGCTTCAGGTGTCTGATGCCATTCAGACTGGTCATTAGCAGTAGATCCATTGAATTTTCCACTTGCATGCAGGCTTTCCAAGCTCAGGTCATGGTATAGCATTTTTTTCTCTCATAGTTTATTCTGGACTCTCAGCTGTCAATTCTGCTTATACAGATAGTGAGTAAAATAAGAACAAAAGGGTTAAAAATGCTAACTGAAAACAGGCACCTCAGTACCAAAGGTTGTCAGATGTTCTTTTGTATTATGTATGTAAATAAAATAGGAAGCTATAGCTTGTTCTGGTGTGATGGAAGTATGAGTTAAGAACAGCTTTGTACAGTATTTTATGGGTGGCAGAAAACTCAAGCAGATAGAGCATTGCCTTGGAGTAGAGAGTTCTGGCTTCCCATCCTGACTTCAGCTTTTGCATTGCAAAATTTAAGCTTTGCTTAAGCCAATGACTACTTGGGCAGGGGGAGGGGTATTTCTAAAGACTGAGGTCTTTCAAAATGACCTTTTGAAATTTTTCTGTGAAGTTTTTGAGCATTAGGGAGAAGGTAAGTTCAGTTTCCAGGCTGAGAGCATAAAATGTCTGTCCAACCATTTCACTGAGCCCCTTTGAAATTCCAGCACTTTTGTCCCTGAGCAGAATGTAGCACTCTAACAAAGCTGATGATTAGGGCGAGTGTGATGCTTGAGATGTTTTAGCTTGTGCAGAACAGATCTTGCCCACTCCTAAACCCCAGCTGTTTAATGCAGAGTGCAGCACACAGAAGACCACTGTGAAACTTCATTTGCTGTTGCCTCTCTTTAAAGCTGTGCCAGCAACTGCACAGCCTGATCATTGCACTGAAAATATACAGAGCTCTTCATTGTCTTATTAAACTTCTAACAATCTCAAAGCAGGACATTAATCCTTAACTGTGTTGTAATACACCTTCATTAACAAACACGTTACACTTTTATTCCAACGAGAAGCATGATTTCTGGAATTTTGGGGCCCTATTCATATTTTATGGGTGGTGGAAAGTATCTTTTTTAATTTCAGTGGGTTCTGGCTGTAGTGGACCTGCTGTCCTCTAACTGATGAATATATAGGATAATAGTGGAATTTTTGGTATTCACTGCTCTCAACAACAAGGCTTTTCTTCAAAGTCTGATACTCCATGCTAGTTTTTAAGAGGTATAAGTTGAAACACAGCACAGGAGAGCAAATTAGGAAAAAATGAAATCTTCATGAGGTACATGGAGAGAGTTAAGAATGTAATTCTGCAAGAGTTATGTGTTGTTTCTTTAATGCAGGCCTGTGTTTGCATAAATGTCACAGAAGTGCTTGCAAGGTGATTGGTTACAAGTACTTAAGCTCAATAGGAGTATCCTTACTGCTCCAGTTTCACAGCATTTGTGGATCATTGGTGCACCAGAAAGTTTCCAAAGCAGTACTTTCCCTCTTTAAAGTAAAAATATGTGTGCATTAATGCTAGGAAATCTATCCTTTAGAAGTTTAGTTAGTAGAGGGGTATAAGTTGCAAAGGCATTTCTAGAAGATTAATAAAATATGCTCCATTCCATTACATCTGTGATGTCTAGGTGATGAGAAAACAAGCATTTTTTTTGAGACTATCAGTACAGTTCTTTATGATAGCAATCCTTCATGAAGATATTACAAAGTTATATCTACTAAATAGGTCATTTCTAACAAATATGTTTTATTCTTTTTTGACATTGTGACTTCAATTTTAATGCAAAATCTGGTAAACAAAGGACAGATTCAATGACTGGCAGTGCTTGCTCAAAAAGGGTAGCTTGCTTAACTTCTTGTTGGCAAAGATGATGGAGAATCTCTGTAATGAACAGTGGAAAAGAGAAAAATATCAGAACAGGTGCAGCAGGGTAGAAATTTGAATGTCCAACTTATTTAATATATGTGATAGAGTGGTTTAAAAGATCTGGTTCCCAACAAAATAGCAGATGGTAGCAGTTTGCCCATTTCTTCACATCCTTTTCTTTGCCAAAAGGCAGAGCTGGACATTTCTCTCCTTCAGGTTATTGAAGTGCCAAGGGGACTAGGATAAGATTTGAGGTTAACTGAGGCCACTTTCTGTACTGAAGGAGGGCTGCTGCTCTTTGGGACGTGACTGCAGTGGCTTTCAGGTGTCTTGGCAAGCTACTTAGCTTGGTACAGGACATCTCAGCAGTTTTGGATGGTTGAAGGCATACTACCGCTGAGATGAAAGGTTAACTTGCTCCCATATGTGTTAACAGTGAAGGGGAGAAATTGAAACTCCTTCTTCCAATAGTTTTTCTTCAGATTCGGTACAAAATGTAAAGAGTTCTAGCTAGCCACATGAAAACCAAGCAAAATAGTTTGTTTTTCTTTTTCTGGAACACAGCCTTGAAATAGTTAAGTTACATCATAAGCAACTCATTTGGTTCTACCTATATTTAGCTTACTGGAAGTACCTTTAGGTTGTGAAATGTACACTGGGTGTTCTTGTCCTTGTGCTAGAATGAAATATTTAAAAGAGGAAATGTTTTCAGTAATATTCCAGGAATCTTTGAATAAACACTGTTCCTGTCAGCATGAATGGTTAAAATTTGAGCTTTTGATCCCTTGAAAACAAGCACGTTTCTGCTTTGATTCAAATTCTGCTCTGCCAGCGTAAAGGAGTTAAAACCACAACCTAATGCCACAGTAAAGTATGTACAGGGGAATCCCCACATGGCACAGAGATGCTTCTACGCAGGGTCCTCTTTTCTACTCACCACAGACACAGTGCCTCCTGTAGTGGGCTTGGAAAAGCAGTTTTTCCTTCCAGGTTTACAGAGAAAGTGGGGAGGTTAGTCCTGCAGTCATTGTTTCTCTGGTGGGCTTGAGCAGACAGAACACTGGCAAGCTGGACAGTCCGTCTGGGATGGCCCCATTCCAGAGCTGAACTGACCAAAATTGATGCGTGGTTTAGCCCTTTTTCAAGTTGGTTACAAAAACTTCCAAGCTGAATGCTGCCTTAGGTTACATATGACTTTTACATCACTGGAAATGCTTGACAAGACTTGCTTCAAATGTTTCCACCGAGATGAGGGACGTAGGGGACTAAATAGTGTAAAGACTGAGAATAAAATCAGTGAGTATGTTCAACATAGAATCTGCTAGCAATATTCTTACCATATAAAAAATGTTGCACCTCTGTGCTTCATGCACAATCTGTCTCTGTCTTCCGATTTTCATATCCACTGTCTCTTCAGACTGTAATTTAATTTGCATGGTACAGCTTTCCTCTGCAGGAAAGTGCTGGTTTAATACAAATACACTATCAGTAGAATTGAAACATTTAAACTATTACAGCATTATTTGAAGCTCCCCAGCCTGAACCAAGAAAAGACATAGGAAGTACTAATTTTCATGCTAGTCTTACAAAGTTTTTGCCCTTAAAAAGACTTCAGAGTTAAGTAACAAAGAACAGCAGGTAGATGGAAAGTTAGTTATTATATACTGAAAAGGGGAATGCAGAAACAGATAAAAGCTTTGCAGGTAGTTCATTAGTTGTTCTTTAACATGCTTTACTGTTTGGAGGTTAAAAGAACAAGAGCACATCTCTATTATGAAAAACTAAAACCAATAATTATGGATTTTGTTGAAAGGAGGGAATGCACTAGACCTACTCAAGAGATACAGAGGAGCACAGGGCAGCTTTTTAAAAGGAAGCATTATTTTTAATGCAATGTTCTCTTGTGCATTTATGAAATAGCAAATTTAAGAACTTTAGAGGAGAGTTTTCTCCTGTGGTATGAAACTAGGCTCAGGACTTTCCAGTGTTGCCAATTGCTTATGATTTTAATGGTATTTTTTTGTATGCTCTACTAATTTTTCTCTTATTGTGTACGTGTTGTTGCATTTGCATTCTTTTACAGTTGTACAACTTTGGAGAGACAGTTTCTATAGTTTTCTGGACAGATACATGGAAGCCAGAGAGCTTTTTTGACAAGCTGGAGAGGAACAGGCGCAATGGAACGCACACACTGTGCTTACTTGGTAAGCAGCAGCTATCCCCCTTCCTCAGCCACCAGCTTCCACGGTGCCCAGAAACAGTGGTGATAGGCATGAGAGAGGATCTCTGATTCAACAGCTGATCTTAGCTAACATATACTGTTGAAAATATACCCAAAATTGGAATGTTAGTATACGTGTACTTAAGAGTCAGTTCAGCCATTGCTTATGCTCAAGCGGACAGGAATTTAATTGCTCTTCAAAAAATTTGCAAGAAATGATGCCTTTGCAGAAGTCAAATAGGAGCAGGAGGCCTATATTTCACCTAAAGATCAGTGTGTTTTTAAGCTAGATCAAGATCAGGATCCAAATCTGATTGCAGTGACTAGCAACTATCTTTTATTGACTTAATTAGGTTAGATCTCAACACATTTGACTGTCTGGGGATAAATTGTACATTGAACCACATTTCTGTTTTGTATGGTGATATTCCCTTAATTATCTCATCTCAGGCTGTTTTGGCAAAAAGTAATTGTCATGTGAGAAGCTTCGGTGCTGCAAAAAATCCTTGCTGATCATGGAGCTGAAATGGAACAGTGCTCCCAGCTGACCCCTGTCCTCAGGCTTTCCATGGTGCTGTCTGATCTTTATCCTACCAATCTTCAGCTGAAAGCCACTTCTGAGTAACTCTACTAGCCTGAGTAACTCCCTGAAGATTATGGAATAGCCTGCACATAAACCACAAGGCACTTCCATATTTGTGTATGTAAATGATATACCTTTCTGTACCATCTTTCAGACACAGCTGGGATCTCTCAGTGCTAAATAAATTAATATTTTAAGTAAAAACAAATTCTGTGGTAACTGCAGAAATCCTGAGCAGGAAACAATTTAAATACGTAAGCATCACTGCACATCAAACTTTCTAAAGCCTTGAAAGTTGTTTACAAAATTGGCTAAAAGTCAGAATCCTGGTGATTTGCTTTAAAGGATGACTTCACAAGTGTTTTAAACAAGGATTATTTTAAACAAAGTATTCTTTAGATAGTTAGTCTGATTACTTCTATGATATCCCTCTTTACATTTAATTTTTTTTAATGTGGTAGTGAGAAAGAAGAAAGTTTTGAACCAGTAAAATTTAATCAGAAATCTCATGTTTCATCACATCAGATGCAAGTGGTACCTGCATCTTATTTTAGCTCAAAAGCTGAAAACTACCAATTTCCAAATTACTTTTTCCCTTGATACTACTCAGCCATTCTGGTCTAAGTGTTGATTGTTTAGCCAACTAGACTAGATTACCAGATAAGCAAATGTGACATAAAAAGGTTAGTGCTGATAAACCTCTGAACTCGAAAGTGACCTCGCAGACATGTAATTAATTTGGTAAACTGTGCACTAATAGTCTTGCAGCTTTGCATTTTAAATGCCTTTCTTCAGTCACTTTGGTTTATGAGCTGATGGAACAACTTAAGCAGGATTTTTTTTTTTAAATCAAGATTAAAAATGTACCCAGCTTTCACTGTGATAGTATTTTGGGGACATTTGAGTCCAGCAGCTTTCAATTGCCACTTGGAAAGATCGCGGTCAATTAGTTTACTAAAATTGCAGATGTGCAGAGTCTTGCCTGACCCCCTCTCTATTTCATTTTTGCCCAAATCCTTTTTTTTTCCCATAACAGAAGATTCTTCTAAATTTTGTTTGGGACAGGGAGGAAGTGCTAACGAAAGTCAGGTTCCTGCATGGCAGTGATGTAATCACTGTCGATCAGTCATACTGTTTTACCTTTTGTGACCACAGTGTACTCATAATTGAAGTGTAGTCCCAATACCCTCGTGTGTTTACATATGCTATCATTTACCTATCCTCTGGTAAAAATGCCTGTGATTTTTACACTCAGCAATTTTTTTATTATTCATGTTGCTCTGAAACCAGTGAAATTTGCCCTATTTTTGGGTAAAATCACATGCATAAAATCATAATACATTGTGATTAACACATGAAACAGTAGAATGCAATCCATATTCCATTTTTTTCTGTAGCAGCTAAAGTGTTGTTATAAAGTTTATAGAATCTGCTAATTCAGCTATGTTTTACCTACAAAGAAAATTAAGTGGGAAGTTTGTAGGCAACTTGGGGTTTAATATCTGTTTTGTTCTACATTCTACAGATATTAAAGTGAAGGAGCAGTCTCTGGAGAATCTGATGAAGTGAGTCACCATTTCAAAACATAGAAACACACAGTGTATTTACAAAGAGGTTTTTTTGTACAAAGAACAAAGGTGCTTTACCCATAAGTCATTAATACTGAACTTACCTGCTGCCTTCTCTTGTACTTCTCAGTGGCCGTGGTCTTTTGTTCCTTACAAGGAGTGCAACATTTTTGTTTGTTACAGTAGGAGCTGGCTTTATTTAAACTAACAGAATGAAGTCACAGCAGAGCATAATCCTTTTTTCAGTTGTTTCTGTGAGAAGTATTAAGTCAGAACAGGGTGAGCTTTCTGCTTGGCAAATTTTCTTACTGTTCTGTCCCATCCTGAAGTAGATTTAATAGCTGAAACAGTGTTCTGAATTCATTCTTCCTTACGCTGCCTAGAAGCAGTGTGAAGTACTGAATACATACCACCCTTTTTAAACAGATAAATAAGCAGAGTATGGAAAATGCTCTTAAGTTCATTTAACGGCATTCAGAAGAGCTCTTGCCACATCTTAATCATCTCTCTGCAATCTGTATGTTTTGACAGTGGCCAATATAAATGGTTACTTTATACGCATGCTGTAACTCTGGTCTAAACATTTGTGAAGTCTCACAGTATCATTGAGGTTTGTTTATTCTGGAATTTCAAAATGAAATCTGTTAGACTGAATCCACAGTTGGCAAAGAAAGCAGTATTTCATTTAAGAGTATATTTCTAGTCTGTAATCATCTGTCTACAGGGCGTTTGACAGAAAAACAGTAGTTTGCCCTTGAGTTAAAGTCTAATGCATCTTTCAGGAGTAGCTGCAAAAGCTGCATATTGCTTCCAGCAGCTGTATTTGCTTTTAAGATTGAAAAGATCTGCTGGCTGGAGGAGGCCCTGCTGTTTCGCAGGTGTGGTGAGAACACAAGAGACTTCTGTCTTCTGTAAAAACTCCACTCTTGTCTAAAAGGCCCAGACTGACAGCCCAGGCCTGTTTAAGTTCAATTTGCTGGTCTAGAGGTTTCTTGAAATAAACTGTAAGAACACTAGGGATAATGAAATGGATTATATGTGGAATTTCTCCACTTTCATTTTCTTGCAGAGGAAGAAAGATTTATGAGCCACCACGCTACATGAGTGTGAACCAAGCTGCAGAACAGCTTCTTGCCATTATTCAAAACAGGAAGCTCCAAGGAGAACAACCAGGTACTGTTACTGCAATGTTTCTATCTGCTGCTACCCCTTGCAAGTGACATGGAGAGCCTCAGAACACTACTCCCTTAATCTTAGCATTCTCTTCCTCTGCAGCAGAACTGGGCTGCCTTAAATCCTAGTCATGAGTTGGATCTGTCAGAGCTTGAACCTAGTGTAGTTCAGCGAGCACAGATGAAGAAGCACAGGTGGCTTCTAGAGGGTTAGTCAAAGCCTCAATGTGGTAGCCCTGGACTGTTTCTATCCATGTGGAACTGTGAGCTCTCTGATCCATTAGAGTTGCAGAAGGATTCTGAGTGTTTTAGATCAGTCAAGCTTCAAAAATCTCTGCTACGTTTTATTTAGACCGGTCACACTCTGCTCTACATGAATATTAGTATGAATCTAGGTTAACTCAACAATGCAGAGCTGTGATTTTGACCTTGAATTGACCAAACTATGAAAGATGTTTATTGAGATGAAGGGTGCAATCACAGCAGCTATAAGGATGACCCAGTTGTGTCACAGAAAAATTCTTATCAGAATTAACCTAGCTATATTCCTCCTTTTAACGGTTTATTCCTTAAATACTATGAAAATTCTTTCATTTTATCCTTCATACAGAAGGAATCAGAAGCAGCAGTTTCCTCTGAGTGGACACAATTCCTGAGTGAATTCATATTCTACTGCTGCTGCTTTCCCATTCTTGCTTATAAACACACCTAAGATACAGCTTTATTTTCTCTGAAGAACAAGCTTCTTTCTAGACCACTCCAATGATTTATTAACTGAAGGCTTAAGGAAGGAGTGTTAAGGTTTAAGCATTTTGAGTACTGTTTCATTTATGTTAGGACCATTCATCAAATTATTAAGCATTTCATGTTCTTTCTCACAGAGATTACCGAAGACACCATTTGTGTTGGCCTCGCACGCGTGGGTGCTCCCGATCAGCAGATTGCTTCAGGCACACTCTGTCAGATGTCCACAGTGGAATTAGGTGGTCCACTGCATTCCTTGATTGTTACAGGCACTATGCATCCTCTGGAATTAGAAATGCTTAAGCTTTTTTCTATAGATAGTTCTAGTTTTGAAAATAATGCATTGCAAAGCACCGAAAAATAAAAATGAGGCATTTGAAGTTTTATTCTATCTCTCATTTCATGACAGCGTAAAGCTATTTCTGTGAATACTGGAGCTTGCCTAAGTGTAGTTAAGAGTGTATCTTGCTTCGAAAGACAACGCTGTAGGAACATAGACCTGTTTTATCTGAGGCTACGAACTGCAAGCTGCACCTGCTGGTATCAGCTTCTAATTTGTGGACACCTCCAAAAACCTTTAAACCTTAAAAAGCCTTTGTCTGATTCAGTTCATTGACATCTCATCAGCCTTACATTGATGACTAGGATAAGGAGTGGAAGTAGAAAACTGAAGGGTACCAGATGCCTGGCTGGCATCACCTTTGCTGTAGAACATTAATCAAGCCTACTGCAAATAAGTACATTGTATAGGTTAAATTTTGCTTTGCAGCTTTCCACAAACTTACTAGTTCTCTCTCCAAAAGAAACCATTAGTGTGCAAAACCTGGCAAATCTGTATCTGTCTTTACACTTGAGAGAGTGAATACAGACAGGTGAGAATGCTCATTATGTCTAAACAAAAAAACCCCAAAACAACAACAAGACCATACAAAAACAATAAAACAAAACAAAAAAGGGGCAAAACTCCAAAACAACACACAACTCACCCTTTGGACAGCTGTTGAAAGAAAGAACCCGCACAGGATTCTTATTTCAGAAAGCTGCAACTCACACTACTACTGGGTTTCTCCATGTTAGCATTTATGAAGTGCTGGAGTCAGACTGCAGCAACCACAACTTCAAGCCAATTCTCAGAAAAAAGACCTCAAGAATTCTCCTTAAAATCGGTGAATGTATGATGATGGTTGCTATGTCAACTAGTCTGCACAGTATATAAGAGAAGAAAGAAGATGTATGCACTTTTTTTTTTAAACCGAAGATTTATTGGAAAGAAATTTGATCCCATATCTTTTCAGTAATATAGGATATTTAACATTTTATATAGATTGTATTCAAGTAGAAAAGATTACATTAAAAATGTCTAATATTGCACTTGGGCCAAGTCATGGCTAAGCTACTAACATCAGCATTCCAGAGCAGAATCATACATAGTCTTCAGAATTTTAGTGAGCTGCCTGGTGTCATCATTAAGACTTCCTTACAGCTATTTTGAACTACTATACTGTACAACTTAAGATCGCTGCCAAGAGTAATTCCTGTAACTTGAAGGTCAAGGCAAGCAATACGCTGTATGCTACCAGGAACGATTTTGGCGATTTCTTCATTCACAGTATTTCACACTCCAGCCCAAATACCGTAGCGATTCATTTCACTCCTGTACAAGATCCCAGCATACACGTGCAAGAATTCAATGCACATGGGAAGTGAAATGCACAACTCCTTTTACACATTACTTCCGCCAAGTTACCACATCGGCAGGAACCTGTTGTGGCTCACCGAAACAAACAAGTAGATGAAGCAGCAGCCGCACCCAGCGAGACACGCAGTCCGCACGTGCCAGGCGCAGCGGGGGGATAACTGCTGTCTTTTCACAGGACAGCAGCCTCTGGTCAATGAAGTCCCCACAACAGGGATGGTCACTGCAACAAAGCCTGCACGGGGAAGAAATCCAAAAGGGAATCCTGGCAAGCTGAAGATACGGCTTTTCACAGAAGTGTAAAGGAGGAACTAACCATTGAATCAGTATTAGCATCAGAGAAATGGATTATTAAAAAAAAAAAAAAAATCTCTCTATACTCATTCCCAAACACGCTTAAAAGGGGTGGGATAACGAAGGATCATACCAAGTGGCAGTCTGGTGGCTGCTGGGGAAAACAGGACAGAGCTTAGTTAGTAGCTAAAGCTGTTGCTCTGAACCTGTATTTAAAGATAGTGTTATGTGAATATTGACTAGATTTGCACATTAAAGAAGCATGAAAGGTTTCTGCAGCTGCAGCCTGCACCAGAAGAGAAAAGACATGAACTTTACAAATCTGATTGCACAGTGAGTGCAAAGGGTGGAAAACTGCAGTACAGCAGCAGCTTCTCTCCCCTCCTGTAACTTATGTTCACAAAACTGGTTTAACTTAGAACAGTTGAAAAGAGATAGCCTTTCTTCCCTTCACCTTTAAACACAGCTTTACTTCTTCAGAAAAACAATTACGAATGTTAAGAGTCACTAAGGTCCATTTTATTAGTAGCAGCAGCAGTTTCTATTTTTATGTAAAAATAGTGTCAGCAGCTCTTAATCATGATGCAATTAGAACATTTTTGTAAGCAGTATTAAATACAGTCATAGATTTGGACCAGCACTTTTTGCCTCAGTTTAGCAAATGACTCAAGTAGTCTAGCTCTCTGCTGAGGCTATTGATGAAAGGAATGAGACTATCCCTATTTGCAGGATTCACCTACAAAGGACTAGTCTTCACTGTGCATACTTTTAAGAGTAATTTTCTCCTACCGTTATTTACCACCACAAATACTTGGGGAATTTTAATACAAACGTTCTGCAGCACTTGTTTTATCTTCTTAAAAGATGTTTGCTGTAGCTTCTGTAAAAATCATACACTTTGCAGACTTGGTCTTTGAGACAGTATGGCTGTAGGTTACTGTTTTCAGTCACAGAAAAAAAAAAAAAAACAACTACAAAGATAGACCAGGAACCCCACAGTAAACTTCAGCTACATGAAAACATGGGAAAAAAAAAAACATACTTTGAAAACTTGGTTCAAAATTCAGTACTGGATACCAGGAAGCCAATTCTTAGAAGGTGTTCTGCAGACATTTACCCATCTCTGGATGTCAAGTCATTCACACAAATGTTTGTTGAAATGAAGCAATGCATCTCCAGTTAAGTGATAAAGCAAAGTGTTAGACAACAGCCAAGCATTAGCTATTTAGCAAAACACAAAATAACATTTGACTCTCAAGTCAAGAAAAGCTGTGCTTAACAATTGGCATGATTTGTACTCTCCCAAAACCTGAGCACATATCCCCTTAGTAAGTGGAAAAACATAAAAATAAAAATCAGATGTCACTCCATTTACTGACATAACAGATGGGACTGTATCTACTGGACACATCTTCTGTCTTTTGTAGAATTTTGTGATGCTTATTCTTTTTCAGAAAGCCTAAAAAGGCTTAAAGTCTAAGACTTTCCTAAACAATCCTCAATTGCATTTAACAAAAATATGATGCATTTCTTACTTTAGAATCATCAAGCTGTCCTTAAATAAATAAAGATAGTGCTATCTTGGTTAGAAAACTCAGATTTGTAGATATGCTTCCAAGAGTCGGGTAAGTCATAAGAAGCAACACAACAATGCCACAAGTTACTAAAATCAGCACTGTGTAACCACCTTACAGGCTTTTTCACTCAATTTCCCATATTTAAAAAGCTTGTACATAGACATTGTAAAGAAAAAACCACCACCCCCAAACAAACCCAACTGCCATTTGGGCAGATCCTCACTTGGAAACAAATTGTAGCAGTTGTCTTTGTATTAAGAAAACTGCAAAAGTGGCCACGCTCAGCAACTTGGGCAGCACTACAGTATTTTAACAAGTCCAGGAATACTGAGTCCCAAAACAGGTTGGTGTAAAAATGATTTAAACCAAAGCCTGCTCTTGGATCATAACTACGAAGTTGGCTGGTGCTTGCCTTTAAAGTGATACCAGTTGATTCTTCTCTAGTCTCAACAAGTACTAACATTAACTATTAAAAGAAAAAAATAATCAAGAAGTCATGCTGTCAACCATCAAGAGGCAGAGTCTATATGCAACATACTACAGAACAATACAAGTGATCTCTGCCCTACACTCACAACCATATTGTAATTCCCTTTCCTGTGAACATACATGCAAATGGTATCTTAAACTGCAAACCTCAAATCTGCCCAACAGATGCTCGCAGCCTATGCTGCACCGTGTACCTGTCAGATCCCATCCTCCAGTCAGGGACTCCAGGCCTGGCAGAGCACCTGCAAGGTGAGAGAGGGAGGGAGCCTGACGGGGGCCAGGCAGGAGGCCAGATGTGCACCAGTGCAGCCAGCTGAAAGGGCACTCTGCACCTGCACCCGAGGAGAAGTGAACAGGATCAGAAAACAGCAATAGGCTTGAAGAAGGATCTAAAGACTGGAAGACTCTAAAGCTTAGAAGCAGCATCTATGTGGCTTTCTACTGCCATTTTTTCTTTACACCCAGTTTTCAGTTCCAAGCACCAAGAGTATACCCTCAAGCTTCGTAAAAAAATCAACATCCATGTTTTAATGCCTCAATCCAGAATATTCAGGAACCACCTTTCAATTTGGCAATGTCCAGGTTTCAGCTGGGACAGAGTTAATTCTCTTTCTATTAGCTGGTACAGTGCTGGGGTTTGGAGTGTGAGAATAACACTGGCAACACCCGGGTGTTTCAGCTGTTGCTAAGTAGCGCTTATCCCAAGTGAAGGACTCCTCAGTCCCCCACGCTCTGCCAGCCAGCAGGTGCACCAGAAGCTGGGAGGGAGCCCGCCCAGGACAGCTGACCTGAGCTAGCCAAGGAGATATTCCACAGCACAGGACATCATGCCCAGTACAGAAACTGGGGGAGATGGCCCGGGGCGGGGCTGATCACTGCTCAGGCATCGGTCAGCGGATAGTGAGCAACCGCACTGTGCATCACTCGCCTTTCTTGGGTTTGCACGCTCTCTCCTTCTCTCTCCTTTTGTTATCTTCATATTAATGATTCTTTTTATATTTTAATTTCAATTATTAAACTGTTCTCCCAACCCCCAAGTTCTACTTCCTACCCCTCCCCTGCCCCATTTTCCTCCCCATCCCACCAGGGGTGGGGGAAATGGGCAAACATCTTCTGCACGGTGCTCAGTTGCTGGTTGGGGTTAACCCATGCCAGGCAACCGTCATGTTATAGCATGAAAAGGGATCAAAATTCAGCTGCTATACAGGAACAACAGAATGAGTCCAAGAAAATCTTAATCTCTGTCATGAATTCAGCAACAGAACAGCGAACAAACAATTTCTGCAAATGAGTCTTCAGTACTTTCAT